GAGAAGAAGTTGTAAATGAGAAGGCTAAAATGTACCTTCTAATTTTGAATCGGAATTAAAGATATTTGTATAAACTCAGTGTTATACACATGCAAATGAGTATCAAAATACATACATGTGTACATGCCTGGGTTAGTGCAACTACATGTGTTTATGTTTGCTAGGAGGTCCTTGGAGCAATAACATCCCAGTAGCTGTGACCCAACCTGGTGCCCAGATCTTAGTCTCTGAGCACCATTCTCTAATACAAGAAGCCAAGGATCCTAGAAGTAGTTGATTCCAGGACTGGGGCAGGCAAAACATAAGATGAGCCTGGAGCATCTTCTGGTTTTAAAACATAAGGAAATCCTCAATGATAAGATGGAGGCTTGTCAGTAGAACACGAGAACCAACCGGAAGGAGCTCCTGATGACCAAAACTGGAACAATTCGAGCAACAAAACCATTACAGTGTTGGATTTTAACCCATAGAATAAAATAAATGTCCATGGTTGTATTAGTTTTCTGTTGCTGTGTAACAAATTGCTACAAACTTAGCAGCTTAAAACAATGCATGTTTATTACTAATATTTCAGTCCCGTGGCCTGGAGTTCCGGCACAGCTTAGCTGCATCCTTTGCTCAGGATCTCACAAGGCTGCTATCCGAGTTGAAGGCGGCCTGCATTCTCATCTGGAGGCTCGACTAGGGAAGAATCTGCTTCCAGTTTCATTCAGATTATGGCAGATTTATTTCCTTGTGGTTGTAGGATTGAGCCCCTTGGGTTCTAGAAGTTTCTTGTTCTCACATCATGAAAGCTCACTTCCTTACAGGCCTGGGCCATCTTTTAAAGTCAGGCCCATAGAGGATCATCTCCCTTTTGATTATTTCAAAGTCAGCTGACTAGGGAATTTAATTATATCTGCAGAAATTCCTTCACCTTTGCTGTATAATAGAACATAATTACAGGAGTGGTAGTCCATCACTTTTGTCATGTTCTTTGGTTAGAGGCCAAATCACAGGTTCTGCCCTCAGAATCAAAAGGAAGGGATCACACACGGGTGTTACTCACCAGAGGTCAGCTGAGGTTGTGTCTGCCACAGTGGGTCCATATGGATAGAAAAAAATAGTCTAATGAACAAACAAATAAGGAAGAAAAGATAACTCTTCCTCGTAATAGAATTCCAATTAAGAAATATGGAAGGAGAGAGGGAAATAGAATCACTATTAGCCAACACCACCGTGATCAATGTTGTAGACAAGATTTTCTAACGGATGCTGAGATTAGTGGGTGAAAGTAACACAGGATTTGCATGGTCTCAGATATTTCTCCTAAGATATTCATCAACTACAAAGAGGAAAATAGTAACTTTAAAGTGGAGGAACTTGGTGGGCACCAGCTTGACCAAGTAATGAGGATAAACCTCACCAGAAACGAGACACGAGCATCTGAATCCATGACAATGTTGGGAGGAAGGCATGGCGCTTCCATGATCACTTCCCAAAATGCGTGATCTCATTTCAGTGATGAAAAAATAACAGACCAAACCAAATTTGGAAACATTCTGCAAAACAACTGATGAGTGTTCAAAAGTGTCAAGGTCATATAATATAAGGAAAGACTGAGGGACTCGTAGAGGAAACTAATGAGAAATAACAAAATGCAATATGGGATGATCTCAGAAAAAAGACAGGAAGTGGAAAAATTAGTGGAATTCAAACAAGATCTTTAGTTAAGTTTCTCTTCTAGGGAAGTTATTATGGTTATATAAGATGTTAACATTATGGGAGGTGGGCTAGGGATATAAGGAAACTCTTGTACCTTTTTTCTAATTCTAAAATTAAAAATAAAAGTTTTTTAAAAAAATTGTATAGATTTAAGCTGAGAATTTTTCAGCAAAAGTAGACATTCAGGTAACTTATGTTTCATTTTAGTTTACTGCACCAAAATTTTACACGTGTACATGGTCATTGGAGAATGCATAAGTGTAAAATGGTGGAATTTGCAGTACATTTTTTTCCAGTTGTATTTTTTCCATTGTGCTTACATCATTATAGACACAGACAAGGGAAGAACATGGGCCCTTCTTTAAAAACTTTTACTGTTAAAGTGCTCTAATAAAGTTGGTTTGTTCACTGTGCATGGCAGTATTCTTTTTAAAAATTATTACCAAATTTTATTTGAAAGGTTTTACTTGTGACTAACATATGTCATGTAGTCCATGGTTTTGAAGATATTTACGTAACTCGGTTGCTTCAAAGGGCTCTGAATTTCCTTCTTTACACGGACGGTGGACACTAACAAGTCTTCCGTGCTGCATTTCTCAGATGCGTGCACTGAGTCATCATCTGCTATGACTATGCTTACGCCTGTGCTTATGGAGGATGAAGTTATTTCTTAGTAACCGTAGTTACCATAGTTACTAAATCATAGTAACTATGACTTAGTAGTTACGAAACTATGGATAGAAGATGACAGAAAATGAGGAATTTAAAATGGTTTGGCCAAATCTGTCTTTATCATGGAAGAGCTCTTGTTTGTTTCTTTAACAGGATAAATTTAATCCATGGGTTTTCTCATTGCTTTAAATGGACATCTGTCTTAGAATTGCACCAGACAGCCAGTCGTGCTGCTGGGCTGTGGCAGTATTTTATGAATCGTGGGATGGGTTTCTTACAGCCTTTTTTATTTTTATTTGAAATATTGTATATAAGAGCAGTGCCTCGGGCATGCACAGTCTAAGCCGTGGTGCCCTGTGTTAACATAAAATTACTGTTTGTTTTTACTGTCATGAGTCTACGAATCCAGTCTGTCATACAGAAGTGATCATTATAATGTAAGCACTTACTGTCTTACTGCGGCTGATTCCCCAGTGACATTTTTAAAAGTCTGTATTTGGCTGCAGAGTGCTTTAAATTTCTAAATGGACTGTAGATTGGAGGCCTGAGGGTATTTCATAGGAAGCACACAACCCTGCAGTGAACACACAGCAACTTTTGTAGATCTGTAGCCAAGTTGGTGATCAGCATTTACCCTCGAAATTATTTTGGTCCAGAATATTAAGTGTTTTTTACTTTACATTTAAGTATTTGGTATTAATATTAATTTACTGCAAATGTCTAAAAACTAAATGAATAGTTAAACAAAGTCTGTGCTGTTTGTCCAGGTCTTTTATCCCACTCTCATGTAAAAGCAGCTCCTAGTGGTTTCACAGCACTTGTTTCTTAGTGTCCATAAAGCCGTGTGTTTGCTTTTTACTTTATCTGAAATGAGAGTGGCAGATTGAACACTCAGGAACACTTGGAAATACATAGGTAAGTTTTACATTCTTCTATAAAAGAAGCCTAAACTCCTGAAAACAATTTGAGATTTATTTTTTAGTACTATTTTAAGAACTATTTATACCTATTGTGTAAACTGATAATCATACTCCTGCCTCTCTGGCTGTCGCAGATTCACCCGTTGTTAGAGTTATTAGGGAGTGACAGTCCTGGGAGACTCCCAGACTGTGCCTCCCTGGTCTGCCTGGCTGTGTGGCACACAGACCCCATCATAGAGAAACACAAGAGAGTTGTCTTGCATCGTAAACACCAGGCTTTGTGTTGCATGTGTCACGACCTTCATGCGGATAAAGTAGTGGTGATCTTCAGGACGTAATGTCTTTCTCAATTGTGATTTTTTAAAATTTTTTTTTTACTTGAGACAGGGTCTTGCTCTGTTGCTCAGACTGGAGTGCTGTAGCGTCATCATAGCTCACTGCAACCTCAAACTCCTGGACTCAAACACTCCTCCCGCCTCAGCCTCCCAAAGTACTAGGATTACAGGCGCACCCCACTAGGCCAACTCAGTTGTGATTCTTTTTAGCAATATACATAACTATGGAAGAGTAGGCCCTGTGGGGCAAAGCAGTTAGCTTGATCTAACATGATCACGTGACTACCATGTGATGGTAGGGGCCAGCAGGGCCCAGCAGTTTTCTTCGTGTGTGTGTGTGTGTGTGTGTGTGTGTGTGTGTGTGTGTGTGTGTGTGTGTGTTTGTCTTTCCAGTTTACTGAAGGAAAGGGGGAAGATAGAAGATAAAACAGTGTGGTCCTGATGTCATGAGAGCTAGTGCCTTGAGGATTGTGCTATATTCAACTGCCTTTTTAATTCCATTATATTTTTGCTCTTAGAAATGCATCTAACCCTCTGAGCCAGAAAGTGAATTGAGATTGTCAACTACCTCCAATAATTTTTAAATTTCAAAATCCTGTCTCCTGCTTTCACATGACTCATTATCTTTTATCAATAAAGTTGTGTCTTTTCATTTAAATTATATCTCAGATTATGATGTATTAAATATTTGTTATACTAAGGAAGGGATTGAAGGAGTAAAAGGCATGATTCCTGTCTCAAGGAGCCAACATACCTCAAAGACAAACTGAACAAACATTAAATAAGTGGAAATTAAATAGATGAATATTGCTATACTTGCAATAAAGATCAAAAGAGATACAGAATAATATTCCGTTTAGTGATCATATACACTACAGTTTATAGTAATATATTTTATGTTTCTTAATGGAGGTCTTCTAAGTTTATGCAGAATTTCTGATTGACTAATTGGGAAGCTTTTTTTAAGAAATCTATTGCTATTAAGTAATTGTCGGCCACTCTGTATGCCTGCCCACCTGGAAACTAGTTTAGATTCAGGAGGATGAGTTTGGCTTAACAATCTCAGACTTTGTTAACTGGGTGGAAGAAGAAGCTGAGTCAAGAGATTTCAGCTACATGTTGATTCATCTTTGAGTCTGGGAACTGAACCTTTCAGCAGGTCTTTTGCTAAATGTGTTTATTCATGTTTTCTCTTTGTTTTACAGAAAAAAAGATGAAATATTACACTCTTTGAGCTATGGCTTTTCCTATATGAGACCATACCTTTTGTGAACATGAAAATTAAATGTAGCTGTGTCTTGGTTTTGCATGATTGCAGTATTAATGCAAAGGATTCCCCCCTCCCCACTCTCCCTTCTGTGTTTTACAGGCAGTCAGATGCCACCTCAGCCACCTGGGAGCCAGTCAGAGTCCAGCTCCCATCCTGCCTTGAGCCAGTCACCAATGCCACAGGAGAGAGGTCAGTCTCCAATTCCTGTCTCAACTGCAGTGCTTTGAGTATATAAGCGTCTGTGAGTTTGCTTACCTATGCATCTCCTTTCAAATAATTGTTTTTAAAAGGACATTGTGTTTCCTTATCAGATGAAAGAAATAAACAAGAACCCTAGCAACAAACATGGAGAGGAGGGAGAATGCTTTCTTGCAGATTGGGTGAAGTCTTACCAAAGTGCAATTCAAGGCCCAAAGAATGTAAATGTCCACATAGCACCATGAAGCATAGTTTATATATGGCTATAGTCTGATATCTGATCTGTGTAAGACTATGAAAGATTCAATTTGAATATTAGTGCTAGTGAAATAAAATGTCAAGAGCTTGTGTTTGGGGGGTCAGTGTGTGTATATGTGTGTATGTGTTTAGCTGTTTTGACCAACTGCTTGTTCCATGATATTTAGTGGTAAGATTTTAGACCCAGAGCAAGATCTTGTATCATAAAATTGTAAAATCTTAGAACCAAAGCAGACCTGAATGATCGTGTAGTCCAGTCACCTCCAGAAACCAAGAACCACAGAAGTTATGTGCGACATCCTCATTCTCAGGAGCTCACTAATGCCAGAGCCAGAAAGTAGAACATGGACTTTTCCTGAAGCCTCCAAACATACGTTGTCCCACAGCTGCCAGCTCTGCCCTTCAGTCCATTCTGCATGCTGTCCCTGCAGTACGCTTGCTGTTGCCCCGGCAGAGACCTTAGGCCTTCAGTTGTTCTCTGTCCTCTTTCTCCCCTCGAATAGTAAAGCTGCTTTTGGTGGTTGTGGTGGCGGTGATTTTAACCCAGATAGGTGTATTGCAAGGTGACGAGCCTGCCTCTTGCCCAGCCAGTGCTGTGGCAGTCCCTTCCCCTTGCTGGGGGTCAGGGTTCACCTACTGCACCCCACACCACCTCTGCTTCTCTCCCCTCCTCTCTCACGGGCCCAGCCTGGAAGCTGGTATTTACAGGGTTCCTGATCCCTAATGTTTATAACTATTTCTGTATAAGTTGTAGAGATGATGATTTGCTTCCAGTTAGAATTATGAGGTTTAAGTTATTTTACATGTTAAAAACTCAGCAGCACATTATTCAGAAAGCAATGCCAGTGAAACAGTGGATGAGTCCTATTGATACAGCTTGTAGATAGAAAGTGATTTTTTCTTTCCTAATGCCTTTATGTATTTAACTTATTAATTATAGTTTGAGGTATAGTTAATACTTTAATTCCCTTATCGAGATAATATACTACGTTTTAATGATGGTTTTCAAACTTCAGGCTATATGAGAACCACCTGGAGGGTTGCTGGGCCTTGCCCCCAGATTTCTGATTTAGAAGATTTGGGGTGGGATACTTAGGAGTTCCTAAGTATCGCTGGTGCTAATGGCCTAGGACCACATTTTGAGAACCAGTGCCTTATACGGTAGGATAATATGTTTTAATAATTGTGCGACTGCGTGCATTTGTGTCTCTAAACTCTCCACTGTGACCTGCTGTAAATTGCCCTTTCATCTCCTATTGCCTGTTCTGTGTTAACTCCTCGTTGGCTTTGGTCATTTTGAAGACCTTATAGAAGCCCATAAAGAGGGTACTGGCACCAAACAGGCAGGAATTCTCACTGAAGTCCTTTTTGTTGGCCGTGGTGGCACCTGTGTCGTATTGCTGGGTCAAAGGGGAAAAGGAAATTGTCTTGCACTGGGTGCCTGCTCGGGTCAGGCCCAGAACTAAGATGAAGCTGTTGTTATTCCATTTAATCCTCTCTGTAACCCTGAAACATCGCTCCCACTGGTACAATTCTTATTTTGCAAGTGTTAAAAGGTAAGAGGTCCCTTATTTGGAAGTCCTACAGTTTTCATCTTTATTACTAATAAGAAAAAAAAGAGAAACCTCCTCAGATCTTCTAACAATGTCTCCCCTACCCCTTCCAGTTTATAAACGTTTAAGAAATTTGGAAATGTAGAAAACCAAATGTGAAGGGCAGGGAGACAGTGAGGACACTTAGCTAAATTAAATTTTTAACTTAAACTAATACACTTTCAGGACAAAAATCTAGGTTTTTCCATGGGTGTCACTGTATGGAAACTACCATGTCAATATGTTTGTTATTTTTTCCTCTGGTTGCCTTTGTCATGTGTGGTGTAGTTCTGGTAACTGATTCTGGATATATAACAATCTGGGTGGTTATAATGACCATTTCCTTCAAATAGTAAGTATAAATATTATAAGTTGCTAAATCTGAATTGGTTTTTATGAATGTGTTCTCTAAAGCTTCTCTGAAAGACTGTGCTAGAGACATTGTTGTGTGCATTCCCTTTTGTGCTTTTTGTTGGTTCGGCAACCCCCTGGAGAGGAAAACTTCTTATTTTAAAATGACTTGTATGTTAGGTGATGCTTTTCCATACGTGAATTAAATTTCCTCTAAAACTAGGTAGCAAGGATGGAAAGAAAATGGCTTTATTGTTTGTTAAAATTTAGGAAGAAATATTAGCTTCTGATAACATTTGACCAAATGATCGAACAACGTTTGATCAGGTGTTTAAATAGCAAATGACAGCCACTCTAATGCTTCAGCACAATAATAAAAACGTTTGTTTGTTTTACCATCATGTGGTGTGTATCAACAGTGTGACCAGTGTAAAGTAGATGTAAGAAAACTCTTGTTAGAAAATTACCCAAAGTTGATTCTCACATGTTGAAAAGTAATTTAACTTCATTTATACTCTTACAATTGATATATGTCCGTCTTATTTAGTAAATTGCTGAAAGAAAAAGGAAAAAAAAATATATCAATGAGTTAGTATCTTTTTTTAAATAATGTATTTCTCAGAAACCACAGACTTTGATAGACAAAGTAAGCACATTACTTCTCTACTGCTGAGTGCTGGAATAACCAAGTTGAACAGTTCTTTTTACAGTTATTTTGTTTGAATAAAAAAGATTAAGATAAAACAGTAAGGTTCCATAGCACACACATTTTCTTTAATGTATCCACAGAGGATAACATTTTCTTTAAAGGCAAAGACTCTAAAAACACACTTGCGCAGAGACAGGATGGGGCAGCCTGCTTCTGTTGGCTGTTTTCTGAGTCCTCCCTCGAAGTCTTCGTGGGCACAGTGGTGCTGACGACACTGCCCTGGAGCCCAGGTCCCTCCAGGGTCAGAGGCTGAACTCTTGCTCTGCCATCGTTCTTCCTCCTCGGTCTGCGTGTCCCCTTCAGGAGGAGCCTACGTGATAAACCATATGCTGTGTTTAAGAGCATTTTACACACCTCTGGCTGCCCCAGGGCCTGAACCACCCTCAGGGTATCTGGAGTCAGATACCTTGAGCAGATCTCCTTGTCCCTGCAGTCCCCAGGTTCAGTGCCCTTTTCATCTGTAGTATTGAGTTTTGTCAAAGGACGTCAGTCACAAACCCATTTCCTCACATTGTACATAGATGAAAATAACTCAGTTTCTACAGTTTTACGTTTTCTATTTATAAAAAGTATTTGTGCAAGTAAATGTGGATATGGCATCGTAGGTTACAAAAAGAAAGGAAAACGCTTTAGATATTTATTGGACTTTTATTCTCTTGCGTTGGATTGCCTCCTCTACATTTTCATCTGTTTTCCAATATAAAACTTGATTTAGTACTGTGCTGCTAAACGTCTTTCTAACCGAATAAAGAAAATTAGTTCAGATTCTGTGGTCTTAACTTCTTCATTACAGATATAAATTTAAAAGAAAAAAGGTCAAAACTTCAGTCTAGTATTTTGTAGTAACATATTTGCCATTGGTTTTTATATTAAACCAAATCTCTATATACCTCATCTACAAACATACAAAATTGCTGTTAAATTACCTCACCAAAAAAATCAGGTAGTGTAAATTAGGCTACCTAAGGCATTGGGGGAACAGTTAAGATGACCCTATAATACTGAAATAAATTGTATAAGGAAATTGTAGCTAACAAGTGTAGGGTAGTTTTACATATCTTAAAATTCAAAAAGAACAATAGGAAATGTCTTATTAATACATTGCTTTTTTTTTCAAGAGGGCTTGGAGGGAATATGGAATAGTCGTCTCAGTAGATAAATAAGTGTAATAATTATTAACATTAAAGTGATCGCGTTTTTAACCCCTACAATCCGTTATGCTTAATGAAACTAGCAAATGCCCTTCAGTTTATTGGATTAGCAATTAGTTGAAAACGTTGAAGGAAGGCTTATTTATTTGGACAGGTGTAGAGAGGTCAGAATTAATTTTTCGAAAACCTTTTAATTGAATTCCCTTTTAATTTTCACAGCGGTGTCTAGTTAAATATTCATGTTAATGCTGGTGGTTTTCTGAAGGTCTGAACTAGATCTGGATTCTCAAAATCAACATAGGTTATTTAACCCTTTTCATCTAGCAAGCCAACAGGGACTTCCTGAGTGTAATCTCATAGTATTTGAATAATTAGAAGGTAGTAATGAGGATTTAATTAGTCCTTGAGATATGCTGAAACAGAACCCCTAAGAACTTTCCCTCTCGGACACGGATCGCGAACAGAATTGATAGTGCTGCAGGACTGTCGTGTGCTAGCAAATGTATTCTGTTGCTGGAGGCGGTTCTTTGGCACCATTCTGTGACCGTGAGATCTGTACAGAAGGCATCCTGGGTGAAATAGCAACCCCCCAACCTTCGTTTTTATCCACCTTCCGACCTACACGAGGACCTTTCCTTCCTCTCCACTGTCTAAAAAGAGGATTTGCAGTCACAGTGTGCAGGCTACTGTACCTGATTGAGAACTGGCTTTTCTATATCAGTGGTACCAAATGATGAGCTAGAGAGGTCATGAATTTCCTCTGTAGTTGCAGGACAAGGAGAAAATAGATAACAACATTTTGCATTTTTATAAGTCCTACGGTATTTTGTCCAACCAAACACAGGATTCTTGGCAGCTGTTTGTCAACAGAATCACAAAAATCTCATCTTTGGAATCTGATCTTCACAGAGTGATATTTATCAGTAAGTG